TGGGGTGGGCGCCACCCCAATATCCATAACGCCACGACCGGAAGTGCTACATACCCACAATCTGAGACTAAATTCACTGACTGCAATGACGCCGATGTAGAGATCGTGTCATGTTCAAAACGCACGACATCGCGCACCTTCTGGACAGATGGCTCCGAGTGGACCTGTAATACTCCACTCTTGCCTACGCCCTATTTCGTCGTATCTGTCCAGTTATTGGTCGTCTCTGTCGGTTTATAACTGTTGCGTCTATTCTTATTCTGGTATGTTTTCTTGCCCTTATACGCCTGCTGCTGGTTGCCGCCATTTCCCTTCTGCTCAGGCTTCTTTTGAGCTTTAGTATCGCCCGGTTTCTTTCTCAAACTCTTCGCATAGATATTTAGTGGTCTATCTAGAGTACCGGCTTCCATTCGTTTAACTGTAGCGTCTTTACCGTACGCGATGATGGATATTAAAAGTCGGTCTCTTTGCCGCTGCGATATGACCCCTTCGTTGCGTATAGTGTCAAGGGCGTCGATCAGTAGCTCGGAGTTTTCGATTGAAGGGTGGTATATGGCTTGCGACACAATTCGCAGCTTCATTTCAAATAGTTTCGGTATGGTGGTCTTCTTTTGTTTCAACTGTGCTATCAGGGACATCGGATCAAACATTAAGCTTTCAATGTCCTCAACCGCCTCAAAGCCATATCGTTGTTCGTCGTCTCGTCTGTGCCGGGGTCCAGAGTCTAAGCTGCTGTATACAGAGGAGTCGCCTCTCATGACTTCCTCTAAGCTTCGGTCGGGTTGCCTCGTGGGTCTCGGCATCGGTGGTGGTATGTACGACTTAGATGGCGTCGACGTTGAGTTTTGCTTAGAAAATGTTGGTGGTCCAGCCCGTTGTGCATCCCTGAACTCTCTTGTGGTTAGTAGTGGAGTCAGGTCGAGTTGCGGAATTGCCTTCTTGTTTAGTTCGCTTACAAGTGTCTTGAATTTCTTCACCCAATCAGGGTGACAACCGTCCAAATACTTGTCGCGAACCTCAATCAGGTCCTCCAGTGCAATCTTCTTTTCTTGCGCACGGGTTTCTAGCAGCTTCAAAGGTATGAGTTGAAACAGGGTCATGTCCAACACCTTTTCTTCTTTACATTTACGGAAGAACTCCGCGTAGACTTGTTCCGGATCGGTGTTGGCTCGTGTTTGCACCATTGTGAAATGAAGAGGGTTCAAGTTCGGATATACAGTCAATGAGTGGTGCTGCCAGGCTTTTCAGCTTATGAAAAATTATATGTTTGAATAATTAAAAAATGTTTCAAGGCGGGAGACGCCGTCTCCTCGAGATGTCATCGGCCGGGTTGAGGCTCCCTGGTACGTAAGCATATTTAGCTTGATAGAGTTGCCTTATCCTGGCCGCATATATCTCTAGATCATTCCTTGGTTCTTCACCACGAATCAGGGCCTGGTACAGCCGTAAGTTATCCGTGAGAATAACCTTCTCGCACGTCATGTCAATATGTCGGATATGCGCGCGATACTTCACCAGGAGCTTATAAGCTCCTTGTATCTCCTTGAACGAAGCCAAGTTCGTTGCCGTGTGCGTCAGAGGGAGCGATTCTTCTAGCACGCAGTTGCCGTTGTATCTGACGTGTAATCCAGCTGCCGTGTCCGAGGCATCTACGTAGATTTCGATTCGCTTGGCCGACCAAGGCGTTTCCTTGGGACATTCCCACTTCACGTCGAGAGCCGTACGCAGGTCTCTCGCGACTTGTGTGAAATGACCCACCTTTAGGAGAATCTGTCTTAGCTTTGCCGCCGAATCGCGCTGTGCCGGAGTCAGAATGAGCTTGTAATAGCCCAGCTGATGCGTGGCGCGGATTACTTGTCTTATATCTTTACTCAACAGTGCTGATCTTATCGATCGCTCTTTCTCCCTCGGAATCGTCACTCTCTTCTTCTCGAAACGGTATCCCAGAACGTCGAGGGAATCCGCCTTTGAGGACTTCTCGTTATTAATCTTAAACCCAAATCGTCGTAGGTGTTCAGACACCTTTTCATAGCGGGTGTCGAGCTCTTCTCGTGAATTCGCGGCGATCACAATATCATCTTGATACGATCTTACGTTAACCTGATCTTCCGTTGCCACACGGCCGAGAACTAGGTTCATAACGTTTGCGAAATGCTTGGGTGCTGTCTTCGCACCCATAGGCATTCGAGCATAGCAATAACAGTTTCCTTCTGGGTCCAGGAAGCTGTAATATGGTCGTTGGTGTTCTACGAGGGGTACTGCGTGGAAGGCCTTCGAGAGGTCAATCTTTGCGATAACCCTCTGCCCCATCGCCCAAGCTATCACTGGCCCTATAGCTTGCGTGCTCGGAAACTTGCCATCCTTATTCGTATACGGATATAGCACTTGACAATTGTGCGTCACCCTCTTGCCCACGACGTACGGGTTGAGTAGGGCTTTGACGTAGCCTCTCCGTATGTGTATAATCGACCCGTCTTCAAGTCGTTCGTTGATCCATTCGCGATGAAAAAGTGAAGTGCAAGAGGTGATCCTAACAACAGGTCGTCCACCACAATGTTACAGCCAAAAACAGTGATTTATTTATTTATCCCCTAAGAATTTTCTGCCCTTTTATTTTCCGAATAAAGTTGTATGCGGAGACGGCGTCTCCTTCGCATCACCATGGGATGGTGG